TGGCGAAGCCTTCTCTAGAACCTGGGTTTGGCTGAGTCTATCAGTGGTCAGTGGCTTGAATAGCCAAATAGAACTTCCTGTTGAAGGAGCAGTCTAGCTCTGAATACCAACTGCTGGGGAGCCACTTAAGAACATCCAGGGAGATTAGGTTAGTCCTTGACAGAAGCAGGGTGCTGGACAGATACACCTTGGCTCTGACAGAGAAGGGATGCTCTTTTGAGCAGAGGCATCACTGTGCAGCAGCTTTCACCAAGTTGTGTCCTTCAGATGTTTCAGATTGCAAATCCCACAAGGCTCATCATGTTGACTGGACCTGCTGGGAGTTGTTCAAAACATATGAAGAGTGCCATATTCACCATGGTTCTCCTATAAGCCCTTTCTGATATTTGTTTTATAAAGAATGGGACTGTTAAAAATAGATTTTGAATACCAACAGACCCATCAGATGGGGATGGGGATTTCATAGAATTAGAAGGGACCTGAAGGGTCATCTAGTCCAACTCCCTGCAATGCAGGAATCCCGACTAAAGCAGCCATGACAGATGGCCACCCAACCTCTACTGAAAAACCTCCAAGCAAGGAGAGCCCACATACCTCCCAAAGCAGGCTGTCCCACGGTCTAAAGAGCTCTTACTCTCAGCAAATTCTTCCTGATGTCTAGTTTGAATCTCCTTTCATGAACCTTGAAGCCATTGGTTTGAGTCCTACCCCGCAGAACAGGAGAAAACAAGCTTGCTCCATCTTCCATGTGACAGCCCTTGAGATATTTGAAGATGGCTATCATATCTCTTCTAAATCTCCTCTTTTCCAGGCTAGACATACCCAGCTGCTTCAACTGCCGCTCCTCATAAGTCTTGGTTTCTAGACCCTTGATCATCTTGATTGCCCACCTTGGCACAGGTTCCAGCTAGACACTAGATGGCGAGGGTGAGCTCATGGCAAATTCAATATATTTTTCAAAAAACTTTTTAAAAAGTATTTTCTTTTTTAACTTTTTATTTTCAATGTTTCAAAAAGAAATTTTTTTTACACACACACACACATGCTTACATTACACCACAGTCCATTCCAGCCTTCCAGCTGGGGTTAGGCACATGAGGCTGGGTATCTTCAGAGGGTCAGGAAGTACACACACGCCCATCCTTCTTCCTGAGTTTCTGAAATGTGGTGAAACTGTAAATATTTTTAATGTCTTTTTTATTAACAATTTCTTGGTTTAAAAAAGTATGTGCAATGTTTCCTTTTTCAAGTTATATTTTCTACAGGTCAGTTTCATTTTTAAAAAATGTATTTTTAGTAAAGATTGTCTTGATTTGCAAAGGTATGTGCAATGCCTCTGTCTCGTATTTCCCCTCCCCCCCACCTAACACATTCCCCCCCCCCAATTTGTTGAGACATTAGGAAGAATAGGGGGAAAGAGGTGGAGAGGGGAAGATGAGTGGGGGTGGGGTGGGGTGGGGGTGTTTCTATTTTACTTAATATATGTGGGGTTTTGTGTCAGCATTGCTTGTGCAGGTTCTTTGCTGTTCGCTTGTCTTCCTTTGGTGGTGAGAGAGGTTGGGGTTGGCCTAGGGTGTGGCTGTTCATTTGTTGTTGACTGTGGTGGTCTTTGTTTTTATGTGTGAGTGGGGTGGGTGGGTGTTTTGGATCAGGTTAGCCATATTGATTTGTATTCTTTTGGTGGATTTTTGTCATTGTCTTGTTGGGCTATGTATGTGATAAAGGGGAGCCATACCGGGGTTAAGGGGTCTTCTTCTATTTGTCCCCGTGTCAGTTTCAGTTTATTGGTTAATTTTTCTAATAAGGCGGTTTCCCATACTATTTGGTACAATTAAAAAGGTAAAGGTACCCCTGCCCGTACGGGCCAGTCTTGACAGACTCTAGGGTTGTGCGCCCATCTCACTTAAGAGGCCGGGGGCCAGCGCTGTCCGGATACACTTCCGGGTCATGTGGCCAGCGTGACAAAGCTGCATCTGGTGAGCCAGCGCAGCACACGGAAACGCCGTTTACCTTCCCGTCAGTAAGCGTTGCCTATTTATCTACTAGCACCCGGGGGTGCTTTCGAACTGCTAGGTTGGCAGGCGCTGGGACCGAGCAACGAGAGCGCACCCCGCCGCAGGGATTCGAACCGCCGACCTTTCGATCGGCAAGCCCTAGGCGCTGAGGCTTTTACCCACAGCGCCACCCGCGTCCCCTAATTGGTACAATTGGTCCATACTTATTCCTGACAGGTCTCACCAGGTTATAATGTTTCTGGCTGCTGAGAATAGGTGGGTTATGAGTTCTTCGTGATTTGAGTGGGCATTGTTGTCTTGGAAGATGTTTAGTAGGGCCAGTTCTGGGGTGATTTCTAATACTTGCTTAGTTATTTTACATATTTCTCATATGGATTTTGTACAGAAGAGCTGGATTTGGGGGCATTCCCATCACATGTGGAGGTATGTGCCTGGGGAGGTGCACCCTCTCCAGCATTTTGGTGAATCACCTGGGCTTATTAGCACTAATTTTCTTGGTGTTAGGTACCACCTGTAGGTAAGTTTCAGAGTGAGTGCTTTCCTTTCCTTTGATATGGATTTAAAGCAGGGTTTAGACCATGTTCTGGTCCACTGAGTGGGGTTAATGTCATAGGAGGTTTTTGGGGGTGGTTTTTAAAGGTTGTCAGGGGCCTGGTTGCTGCTGATTTTACTACTGGATTGTTTAAGAGGGCATGTAGTTGGTGGTGTGTTAACCAGGGCATTTGGGCGTCTTCTAGTTTGTCTTGTATTTCTTGTGTTGGCAAGGGTTTGCCATTTTTATAGAGGTTGGTTAGGCGATATAAGCCTCTGGTTTGCCAGGTTTTTATCTGGAGGTTTTGTGCTGTGTGATGGAATAATGGGTGGTGTGCCAGGGGAATTAGTGGGGATGGGGTTGGGGACAGTTTGCCTATTTCTGCTTTCCATGCTTTAAGCATGGTCTGTGCGTAGCTGTTAAGTATTGTGAGAATTTTCCTTAGTTTGTTTAGAATTGGGTATGCTGTGGTGCTGGTATTTTCAATTGTGTTTCTCTCCAGGTATACCCACTGTTTTGTTTCATCTTCTAGTATATATGGGATTATGTAGCATACTTGGCTGGCAATGTATGTTGGGGATTCCCCATCCTCCCTCTGTGGAGGGGAGGTGCAGGTGTTTGGGGCTTATTCTTGGTTTTTTGATTGGAATAGGTAGGTTAGTTTTGGGAGGGTGATCATTTTGATCATGGTTATTTTGTCTGAGAGGACGTGGGTGGCACTGTGGGTCAAACCACAGAGCCTAGGATTTGCCAATCGGAAGGTCAGCAGTTCGAATCTCTGCGAAGGGGTGAGCTCCCATTGCTTGGTCCCTGCTCCTGCCGACCTAGCAGTTTGAAAGCACATCAAAGTGCAAGTAGATAAATAGGTACCACTCCGGCAGGCAGGTAAACGGCGTTTCCATGTGCTGCTCTGGTTCGCCAGAAGCAGCTTAGTCATGCTGGCCACATGACCTGGAAGCTGTACGCTGGCTCCCTCGGCCAGTAAAGCGAGATGAGCGCCGTAGCCCTAGAGTCAGTCATGACTGGACCTAATGATCAGGGATCCCTTTACCCTTTACCTATTTTGTCTGAGAGAGTGAAGTTGATGTTGTTCCATTTCTTTAGGTCTTTATTAATTTGCCGCCAACAAGGGGTTGTAATTGTGAAGGTATACTTTATTGAGGTTTCTGGTTCTTTGTACCCTATGGTATCTGAACTTGGTGTGGCAAAGTTTTATCTGGATGACGTTAGCAAGTTCTTTTTGTGTGTGGGAAGCACATAGCTTCCGACTATGCAAAATTTACCTGTAGGCCCGACACCATTGCAAATGTGTTGAGTTCTCTGATTAAGGAGGTTGCTGTGTTTATGGGGTGTGGTGCTGTCATCTGCAAAGAGTCCTAATTTGTAGGTTTTGCCTTTTATTTCCACTCCCTTGATCTCTGTGGCTGCTCGGATTCAGATCTCTAAAGGTTCCAGAGCCAGGATGAATAAGAAGAGAGACCGTGGGAATCCTTGTTTTGTGCCTTTTTGGATTGCTATGGTATTAGAGTCCCTATTGTTAGTCCTCCATATTGCTGAGGCTTGGGAGTATATTTGATTGAAGATTTGCAGGAAGTTGGGGTCAAATTTCATGTCAGTACTGCTAATAGGTATTTCCACTCTAAGCAATCCAAAGCATTGAGGATGTTTAGGGACATAATTGTCAGTGGGCGTTTAGTTGCCATGCTGTGTTCAATCACGTTCAGTAGTTTCCTGATGGGGCCTGTTATATTGCAACCAGGGACAAAGCCAGTCTGGTCTGGGGCTACTAACTTGTGTAGGAAAATTTTTAGGCGGTTGGCCAAGTTTGATGTGAATATATTGTCATCTTGGTTTATTAATGAGACTGGGCGGTCTGGTTCTACTTTGAGGCTGTCTTTCAGTGGTTTTGGGATGGAGACTATTTTGGAGTAGGCCGATGTTTTGGGGATGGGCCCCCCTTTTATGATATCATTGAATAGGCGGGTCATGTAGGGCATCAGGGGTTCTTTGAATTTCCTATAGAATTCTTCTGTAAAGCCATCTGGGCCTGGAGCTTTATGTGGCTTCAGGTTTTTGAGGACCATATCTATTTCCTCTTGGGTGATAGGACTGTCTATGAATTCCTGTTCCTCATAAGTTAAGGTAGGCATGCTCAGTCCTGGTGTTAAATATGAAGTGATGCGTTTTCCTTTGATGAGGTTTCCCAATTTATGCCATACAGACATAATTATATGTAATGTAATTGCTTTTAATCTAGCTATCTTGCTTATCTACAGTATAGGGTGATTCCCTGCCAACCCGTCTGGGTTGCCCTGTGTCTCTCACCTTGTATTGTCTATCGAACCAATGGAGTTGCGCTGTCCTAGAGTGTGGTGGGTGGGGGAGTAGGAGGTTAGAATTAGATTAGGGTTAAAGAGTGGGCGGGGGATAGATTGCAGAAAATATCCTATTTGTAGTCATATAGGCTTTTATTTGGGGTTTCTTGGGCCGTCTGGCGTTTAGCTGTTTGGTCCTCGGTCTCAGCTGGTGTGGAGAGCCTTGTTTTCACAGGACTGTATTCCCAGGTATGTATCCCAAGACACCTGATGTGCTACTTCTGGAAGATGGAGGGGCAATACCCAGCCATGGCCTGCTCGATCATGGAGCTGCTCTTCCCATTGGCCAGTATGGAGTTGAAGTTCCTTGTCACCCAGAATGCAGTGGCCCTCCAAGGTAGGTGGCATTGTGGGTCTTCTTCCAGGAGGGTGGAGCTTCTGCTGAGAAGTCCTAAGGCCTTCCAGCTGGGGTTAGGCACAGGAGGCTGGGTATCTTCAGAGGGTCAGGAAGTACACACACACCCATCCTTCTTCCTGAGTTTCTGAAATGTGGTGAAACTGTTAATATGAGAGCTTAGCAAAATGAGTAATTCCTTTTTAACTAGGCCTTCGTCTTTTAACCAACTGTAGACTACTAAAGTGGGCGGGATGTAGATTTCCTTTCAATTCCCCCCAAACATTTATTATATACTGATTTGAAAGAAAAATATTCAATCTAGGTCAAAATCGGTAGAACATCATAAATGTAGAAGCAATGGCTCAGGGGCCATACTATATAATATTACCTGAAAGTCAACTTGATTTATTTATCTGGTTATCAAAGCATACACTGCTGTTTTAGTGCAGGAACTCACATTGTGCGCCCTCTGAATTAAGGGGGGGGGGTTTGACCTGTTTCTGGTTCAGTAATGTGAACAGTTCTAGTGTGTGTCCATGTCTTACTAAACACATAAGAATGTGCTGTACAAAATAATTGAAACAATGAATTTCGTACAATAGTTTATTGTACAAAACTCACACAGAGATGTACAAAACTCACAGACATGTACATTATTAACAGATATGACCGCCACTATTTTTAAGCAGCATTTGAACACGGTTTGGCATGGAGTCTACTCATTTCGAACAGTCACTGTTGATTTTTGGATCCCTGTACCACACTTGAACCAGCGCCTGAATGAGTTTCTCCATAGTCATACAGTCTACAGCACAGAGGTGACTTTTGCATATAGCCCACGAATTCTCAATGGGATGTACATAGGGGGAATTCCCTGGCCATTCAAGTACCTGTATTTGCTGCTCTGTCATGAATTTCTTCACCACTTTTGATATGTGACAGGGGGCTAGGTCCTGTTCCAGTATCGCAGTACTGTCAGGATACTACTTTTCCTGCTCTGGAGTAACTCTTTCATAGTACCATTGGTGGGAAATATTTTCAGGATGGAGCCCTACCATGACCAACATTTAAAATTGGCTTGGCACCTTATGATTATACTTCTATTTGGTATTTTGACGTTGCTTATATTAATGTGTATTTAATACCATATTTAAGTTAAAGTTTTGTATGGAAAAGTGGTGAAATTTTTTTTTACTCAAAAAGGGAAGGAGGAACAGATTAGCTAAGCATGGAAGAGGTAACCGTGTTGGACCAAGGGTGGAGTTTATGGGCAATCTATCCGGAAGACATTTGTATTTCGAGGAGTTAGTGGTCTGACATGGTTACCCTTCCTGCCTTCTCTTCCTTCTCCCTCTCGATCTCCTGAGCCGTGAATCAGGAGATTTTTAATGCTGGATGTTTTTAGATATGCTGTAAGCCCCCCAGAATCCCTTCGGAAAGCCAGCCAAATGGTGGGGTATAAAATGATGATGATGGTGATGATAATTTATTTATACATATAGCTGATGTCCATACAGAAACTGTGCAAAAACTTGCAATGTTTATATTTTAAAAAGATGAATACTACAATCACAGTTGCAAAGCCTTTCTTTTTGCATGGTGCCTAGTCACTGATCTAAGTGACAGCGGATGGCCGTATAGGAGCTACTCCTGGATCACACAGGGTTGATGGCATTCACTGTGCCATCAACTCAATATTTTAAAAAACACACGACCCCCCCCCCCGATGTGGGGTGGAATTTAGTTCACAAGAATGGTCAATTTCAACCCAGGTGCTTTTCATAACCAAGGAGAATAGTGAAGAGAGAAATGAGAGCCGGTTTCAGACTTGCCAGCCCATTGAACAAGGCACCTACATAGGTGAAGAGCCACATCCACAGCACAAACCTCTGGGATTTCACTAAAAAAAACATTAAAAAGGAGCCCTAAGATATGGCCATGGCTGTTGGAAAAGTTACGAGTCACTGCACATTGTTTTTGTCATTGTCTTTTGTTAGCCATCTGTTATCAGGCCATCAGCTACAGGGTCATACAATGAAAATATTTTTCTATGTTCCTATATTGGGACAAAAAAAGAGAGGCACTAGCGGTTTTTTAAATAAACTAAACAGCTAATGTTATCGTCCCTTGGTAAAACCAAGTCAACCCATGATTTCTTAGACTAAAAAAGCACTAGAAATCAACATTTGTAAGGGCAGTACAGAATTGACCAAGTGTGAAGCCTGGAGCACTTACAAGTGGCGCACACAAAATGTAAGCCACAAAGAGCAACGTGAAGGTGTTTCTATGCAATGGCTACCTTTGTGCCGCAAGGTATAATGTGCATATTGGTTGGCATTCCAAACCATTCTTCTCCATGGCACGGCAAAGCCTGAGAAAGGCTTGCAGTATCACCAAGGTGGCTGGGCAGCCAAGTTAAAAAACCAACCACCACCAAGCCAGCAGCACCCCCTGTATGGCAGTAATGTGTGCCAGCTCTCACGATCCCATTTCTCAGAAGCAGTCATTTGATCAATACAGTGCAAAGTCTCTGAGGTTTATGAGGCTCTTGCTGATCCGCTGCCTAGGCTTTAAGTTGCACCTCACTGGGTGGCAGCCTATGTAGTTTTCTGCCACATTGCCCCTCCTAGGCAGCATGGAAACCATGTGATTCAGCTTGGACCGGATGACAGAGTACTGGAATTCCCTCTCCTTGTTCAGTTTGTGGAAATCGTCTGTCCTGTGGTTGGCAGCATAGTCTATGGACCTCAGGGATGTCAATGAGCCCATAGAGCTTGCCTAGGGGCACTGGGAAGACAGTGAAGAAAGCGACTGAGCGCTAGATGAAGTTGAAGTGGCCTTCCGAGAAATGGGAGATACTTCTTTAGATAGCAGCCTCTGACTGTAAAACTTAGTTAAGGGCACATGACTTGTGGGGTTGAGGTTTGCACTTCACCCTGGGGTTGTAGCTTGGACATTTGCTGAGGGGTCAAGAGGTGAGGAATTTGAGTCTGGTCCTTCCACAGGTTGGGGAGAAGGAGGTGGGAGCCTGTCCCCAATCTGAGAACAGGACAGTGCTTCCTTCTCTTACCTCCTCGTTCACCGCCCCCTTATAACATGCAGTGAATCTTCCCTCCACAGCCTTTCGCAGTCATTTTGATATTTCTACGGGATATTTCTACAAGTCCTCAGCAGAGATTTAGCTCTGCTGAGATCAGGAGATTCTACAAATAGCAGGGGCATGTAGAATTGAATGGTTTTGCACCATAGGCTGTATTTAGATGTGGTGATTATTGCTTTGGTGTTCCTGATTATTCTGTTAGGGCTTCTGTCCCCCCCCCCCAAGTTTCTTTCACACTTCATTACCTGTTCTGTGTTGTAACAGTTTCCTCGCCATCTTTTACAAAGGAAATGGGGCTGCTGCAGTTGGAAAGATGCCTTACTTGGTCATATGGCACACATGGTTGGAGCCCCATGGTATTGAAGTTTAAGAGCACTCTGAATTTTCTGCCATTTGGGGGCAATCAAACTGCAGAATCTTTTAGCTTTCTCTGTCCCTATGTGTTCTGAGGTGTGCATCCTCAGAAAAGGTTGAGCGTTTTAAGTGAGGCAAAAGTTCTTTGATGGCAGGGGGTGAATTGTGGAGGAGATTATACATTTTAGATAGATATTTTCCTTTGGGCTGGATTAGAGTTCCCTTTAGTTTTCATATTTCTCCAGCAAGCCCTATTTTCCTTGTCTTTCATTCAGTTGGAAGTATTGGAGCCAGTCTGTCAAATATATATGGATTTCAAAGTTCCTAATTTATTAATTCCCCCCCCCAATAACATTTTATATGTTGCCCTATTTCCCTTCATGTTTTTCTTCTTAACGCCAAAGGCTTCGATGGGTGAAATGCACCAAGGGGCTGTAGGTTCCAGGAGATATTTATATTTTATCCATGGTTTATATAAGGTCTGAGTTGTGTGGCTGCACCTTCTGGTAAGGTGTTGGCAAGGGATTGAATCTGGGTGCAGAAAGGGAGAAAGGACACTTGTGCTGAGGGGTTTTTAAGCGTTCATGTTTCTGTACAGACATCAGCTACATGAACGCTTCCAAAGCCCCTTAACACAGAGAAAGCTAAAACATTCTGCAGCTTGATTGCCCCCAATGGCAGAACATTCAGAGTGCTCCTTGCAGGCGTATCTTAAACTTTAGTACCATGGGGCTCCAACCATTTGGGCCATATGACCAAGTAAGGCATCTTTCCAACTGCAGCAGCCCCATTTCCTTTGTAAAAGACGGAAAAAACACCGTTCCATGGAACAATAGGTAATGTAGTGTGAAAGAAACATTGGAGGGGGGGGGGACAGAAGCCCTAACAGAATAATCAGGAACACCAAAGCAATAATCACCGCATCTAAATACAGCCTATGGCACAAAACCATTCAATTCTACATGCCCCTGCTATTTGCAGAATCTACTGATCCCAGCAGAGCTAAATCTCTGCTGAGGACCTGTTGCCTCAGTTGGTTAGAATCACTGACTGCAGGTACAAGGCAGGGCATACTGAGCCAACCTCCTGGCCACCCGGGGTTTAGCCCCCTCAGTATTTCTAGATAGGGTGCTCCATTCCCCCAATATTGAGTGATACACAAGAACCAGATACTGGACTTGAAGAATTCCAAGCACATTTATCTTCATTTTTCATTTTGGCCAAAATTATGCCAATAACCGTAAACTAAATTTGGCATCAATTCTGTCTTCATTTGGGGGAGGTCTTGGAGGTCTTAAAACGCAAGGCACCAAAGTCAGCCATGGAAATCTTGCAACACGTCATAGATTCCCTAGGTCCTCTCCAGTTGTACAGAAGATGGAAGAAGAGAGAGAGAAAATATTTTGACTGGGGAAAGGATCAGATGTATTCTTCATGCTAATTTACTGGTCAGGAGATTTCTTACTGAAATCCAACATTGCAACAGCTTGTGACAAATGTGGACAGATCTTTTGTTTGCTCAGAAAAAAAGGGCAACACAAAAAACCAAGAACTTTGCATATATGCAGCTTGTATGTATATTTTGGATTATAGTTTTTTAGCATCATTTGGAAAGGGGACTTTCAAGAACATGAAAACTGAGGTGTCTTAGGGCTGTTTTGCCTCATGGTTTTTGTTGCTGAACTCTAATAGAGAGAACACATGTATACACCCTTTGGACTGTGCCTGGTGAAGCATTGCCATTCACTTCTCTCCTCTTGAAGCATAAACTCTGCTGATGTATGTTGAGAAACTGCAGCAGAAATTGTGGTGTATATATATGTGTGTGTGTATATATATATTTATATATTTGTGTTTTTTAAAGAAACACCAGCTTAAGATTTATTATGAAAAAGCTTTTATGAAAAGTTTTTTTAAAAGAAACACACACCAAAGGAAGTACAATTCATGGATGAAGAAATCAACCTTCCTGCCAAAAAAGATACATGTGTTCTCTCTATTAGGGTTCAGCAACAAAAACCATGAGGCAAAACAGCCCTAAGACACCTCAGTTTTCATGTTCTTGAAAGTCCCCTCCCCCCTCCAAAAAAATGATGTTAAAAAACTATAATCCAAAATATACATACATGCTGCATATATGGAAAGTTTTTTTGTTGCCCCTTTTTCTGAGCAAACGACAGATCAGTCCACATTTGTCACAAGCTGTTGCAATGTTGGAAGTGTGCAATTTCAGTAAGAAATCTCCTGACCAGTACATTAGCATGAAGAATCTGAGAGTTTGGAGCTTTTTTAAAAAAATAATCCGCCCAGTCTCACACACAAACCCCACAAAATATCCTCTTGTGCAAAGTTTCTTCTTGTTTAATACAGCAATACGATAGTTATTAAAAAGTGGGCTTGCTTTCACTGCCCCCCCTCCCTGGCCTGCAAATTTTGTTTTCAGGCCGTTGGAAGAGAATAACAGATTGAGGGCAGAAAGTTGTTTCTGGAAGACCAGTCAAGGCATCTGAAACTGGCTGGCCAGACCATGTTCTACAGTTTATCTGGAAGTGAATGATGGTGGTCTCTTCATTACTGGATGCACAGAGTTAATACATCTGATCCTTTTCCCGGTCAAGGTCTTTTTTATCTCTCTCCTATCTTCTGTACAACTGGAGAGGACCTATGGAATCTATGACGTGTTGCAAGATTTCCACAGCTGACTTTGGTGCCTTGTGTGTTAAGACTCCCCAAATAAATACACAATTGATGCCAAATTTAGTTTATGGTTATTGGCATAATTTTGGCCAGAATGAAAAATGAAGATAAATGTGCTTGGGATTCTTCAAGTCCAGAATCTGGCTCTTGTGGATCACTTGCTGGCTGCTTCCAGTGGATGCAAATGGTTTCTTTTTCTTTTTTTAATTTTTATTTCAAAACAAAAAAATATTACAAACCTCAAATTCAAAATCCATATTTGTTTTCCAGCACAAGCTTATTACAATGATTACCTAAATCAAAATATATCTAATTCCTCTAGGCTTCCCTTGCTCTATATAAATACAGTGCAATTAACAAATTATATTATAAATGATATTATAGGTTCCCATATACCCCCCACTCCCCTTCACCCATATGTGATCTCAATATTTTACTTCTTCCACCTTGTTGTGTTGTTATAATTTAATAATTATTCAGTTGCTTCTATTATTTTCTTGCTTACCTTCAAGTTTTACACATTCTCTATTAAGATTTCAATTCCGGGACAATATTTTTTCATGTTTTCCTTCACTCCATTCCACTTTCTAGTTATTCTCTGATTTGAGTGGCCTCTAATAATTGCCGTCAATTTTTCCGTTTCTACAAACTCTACAAATACTTTCCTTTGATTGTCGGGAATATCGTTTGTGATTATACCTAAAAGGAATGCCTCCGGTTTTTTACTGAAAAATATTTTAAACATCTTTTTGATTTCCTCATAAATTTCATTCCAGAATTGTTTAATAGGTCAGCATTCCCACCACATTTGAAACATTGTTCCTATTTCTTTTTTGCATCTCCAACAGGTATTTGATTTTAATTGTAAATTTTAGCCAATTTTACCAGAGTTAAGTACCATTCGTACCCCATTTTCATGAACTTTTCTCTGATTGTATAACATGCCGTAAACTTAATATCCCATTTCCATAATTTATCCCATTGGTCCAGCCGAATTACATATCCTATATCGCATGCCCATTTTGTCATATTCTTTTACTTCTTCATCCTTTAAGTCCCATTCTAATAATAAATTATACATTTTGGATATATTGTTTTTGAGTTTTGTAATAATACTTTTTGTAATTTTGATTCTTCTTTTTCAAATCCTATTGGTTTATCCTGATTGAATATTTGGGCAATTTGGTAATATTGAAACCATGTGGTGCAGTATTGGGTCGCCTCTTAGTATGGTCTTAGTTTTAATTGGCCCTGTTCCTCTTTTAGGAGCTGCTGGTATGTTGCCATTCGTCCTATCGTATTTTTCCTTTTAACCCATATTACTTCTAACGGTGAGACCCACCATGCTCTTCCAGTAGGGGAGAGGACATAAGAACTTAGTGGATCCTGGGGGGGGGGAAAGAGTTGTAGGGGTTCCCGAAACCTCTAGCTGCCTTTCGAATGGACAGTGTTGAATATGAATGCTGGTCTGTATGATCACTATCAATAGTTGTTATTTTTTCCTCATTCAGTGGGGCTTGAAAATAGTTGTGAAAGATCACATCTAAAAAAAAAACTAAAAAGAAAAAGAAAAGCATTTATTTGGATTTTCATTCTCTCTGCAAAAGGAAAGAAGGGAAAGGCAGTACTTCATCTCGCACAATCATTAGAGAGGTTCATTCAGAGATTAATTAACAAAAACGAGGAGGGTGCTCTGTTTAGAAAGCAGCAAAGAGCTGGCTGCTCCATCCCTTCCCACTGCTGCTGCTGCTAATGGAGGTTTGGAGGAAAATGGGCCGAGTTCTGGGATTCGTCAGGTGGCAGCTGCCATGCCGCCAGATTCCCCCTGTCCTCCGTGCTCTGCCGGTCCACGAGGCCATTTGCAGAGGGGTGATTTCCACAGTCCCCCATCATCACATACTCCCTTCCTCTATGCTAGGGAAATAAAATTGCAGGAGTTCCCAGTTTCTGTACGTACATCAGCAATAGGTACGCTTCAGTCCTTTCTACACCAAAACGGATTCTCTTTCAAACATGCCATCAGGTGGTACAGGCACACAGCTCACACCCGCCCTTAATAAACTTTTCAGCTACTTCAACCACTCCACTTTTTCCACAATCTGCATGTTCTTTTCGCTCATTTTCTACAACTAGATGAAATCCATGCTACTCTCGCATCAGTAGGAGCCCCACAACCACCACCCCGTCCCTCCAAATATTATATATAGTATTATATATATATATATATATATGATTAATCTGAAAGTCTATATATCTAGCAGGGTATCCTCTCCCCTCTTTTCTACAGCAAGATTGAACAAGGCACCAACATTGGTGAACACCCACACTAAGCTTTTCATTTTGTCAGAATGCATCTCTTGTAACTTCAATAATGGAAAGTATTCTGTGTTTACCAATCATGTCGTACTCCTCTTCTTCTTCCGCCTCCTGTTCATCTCAATATTCCCGCCGTTCTTCCTCTCCCCCCCCCTTTTGAGAAAAGGTTTGGGTCATCTGAAAAATCTACCTGCAAGACAGAAGTCATTGGCTTCTTGTGTGGCTTGTCTTTAGCTTCCTCTAGCTTCTTTTTTCTGTACTAAGCTTTTCCAAAACCAGTAGCAGAAGCAGGACGGGACGGAGCAACCAGCTCTTTGCTCCTTTCTAAGCAGAGCACCCTTTCTGGCTGTTAGGATCCCCTCCTCTTTTTTGTTTTTTAATCCCTGATTGCACCTCCTTAATGACTGCGCCAGATGTATCAATGCCATTCACTTCTCTCCTCTTGCAGAGAGAATGAAAAATCCATTTGTGGGACATCTTTTCAGGCTAGTGCCCTACCATGACCAACATTTTAAATTTGGCTTGGCGCCCTGTGATTATACTGGTTTCTGGTATTTTGATGTTCCTTATATTAGTGTGTATTTTATATGTTAAAGTTAAACATTTGTATGGGGAAAAGGTATAGGGTTTTTTACCCAGAGAGGGAAGGAGGAACAGATTAGCTAAGCATGGAAGAGGTAACCATGTTAGACCAAGGGGTGGAGTTTATGGGCAATCTATCCGGAAGACATTTGTATTTCGAGGAGTTAGTGGTCTGACATGGTTACCCTTCCTGCCTTCTCTTTCTTCTCCCTCTCGATCTCCTGAGCCGTGTATTAGGAGATTTTTAATGCTGGATGTTTTTAGATATGCTGTAAGTCCCCCAGAGTCCCTTGGGAAAGCCAGCTAAATGGGTGGGGTATAAAGATGATGATGATGATTTATTTATTACATATAGCTGATGTGTATACAGAAACTGTGAAAAAATTGCAAAGTTTATATTTTAAAAAGATGAATACTACAATCACAGTTGCAAACACTTTCTTTTTGCAATTTCTAAATGGCTAATATTATTGTCCCGTGATGAAACCAAGTTAGCCCATGATTTCTTTGACCAAGAAAGCACTAGAAAGCAACATTTGTAAAGGCAGTAAAGAATTGGCCAAGTGTGAAGGCTGGAGCACTTACAAGTGGCGCACACAAAATGTAAGCCACAAAGAGCAACGTGAAGGTGTTTCCATGTGATAGCTACCTTTGTGCCGCAAGGTATAATGTGCATATTCTTCTCCATGGCATGGCAAAGGCTGAGAAAGGCTTGCAGTATCACCAATATGGCTGGGCAGCCAAGTTAATAAAACAACCACCACCAAGCCAGCAGCACCCCCTGTATGGCAATTATGTTTGCCAGCTCTCACGATCCCACTTCTCAGAAGCAGTCATATGATGAATACAGTGCCAAGTCTCTGAAGTTTATGAGGCTCTTGCTGATCCGCTGCCTAGGCTTTAAGTTGCACCTCACTGGGCGGCAGCCTATGTAGTTTTCTGCCGCATTGCCCCTCCTAGGCAGTATGGAAACCATGTGATTCAGCTTAGACTGGTTGACAGAGTAGTGGAATCCCTCTCCTTGTTCAGCTTGCGGAAATCGTCTGCCCTGTGGCTGGCAGCATAGTCTATGGACCTCAGGTATGTCAGTGAGCCCGTAGAGCTTGCCCAGGGGCACTGGGAAGACAGTGAAGAAAGCGACAGTGCTAGATGAAGTTGAAGTGACCTTCCTAGAAATGGGAGATACTTCTTTAGATAGCAGCCTCTGATTGTAAAACTTAGTTAAGGACACATGACTTGTGGGGTTGAGGTTTGCACTTCACCCTGGGGTTGTAGCTTGGACATTTGCTGAGGGGTCAAGAGGTGAGGAATTTGAGTCTGGTCTTTCCACAGGTTGGGGAGAAGGAGGTGGGAGCCTGTCCCCAATCTGAGAACAGGGCAGTACTTCCTTCTCTTCCCTCCTTCTTCACTGCCCCCTTATAACATGCTTATGTCTTCCCTCCACAGCCCTCCCAGTCATTTTGATATTTCTCCAGGAAACCCTATTTTTCTTGTCTTTCATTCAGTTGGAAGTATTGGAGCCAGTCTGTCACATATTTATGGATTTCAATGTCTTTTCATCTCAATTTATTAATTTGCCCTCTAATAACATTTTATATGTTTCCCAATTTCCCTTCATGTTTTCCTTCTTAACGGCAAAGGCTTTGATGGGCAAAATGCACCAAGGGGTTTTAGCTTCCAGTACTTATTTTTGTGGGAATGTTCAGGGATGCAAGAGGGGATATATTGTCTGATTATATACTTTTCCAACTTGGGTTAACAAGTTCCACAATTTAGCAGAGTAACATTCCCCTTTTTAAAAACTTGCAGCGGATGCGTTTGCTCAGGCTCACTAAAGGCTGTATAATAACTGTTCTGGTATTTCCCCCATTTTCCCTCATTAAAGATAAAACACGACACAGTCTTCTATAAAAGTATAAAAAGGTTTACTCACACATTCTGTTTACAATCGGATCCCAGAAGGCAGACTTAGCTTAGAAAAGTAACATCTACTTGGAAACTATTCCATAAGAAGACAGTCCTTTTGTCTTGGCTGGAAGCCAAGAGGGCATCTTTGGCTAAGCAGATGTGGCTTCTTCGGTGCATGTGGAGAAAGAGAGAGAGATGGCTGCCCTGCCCTGTGCTTATGTCATTAGCATATTTTTTCATGTATTCCTTCACTCCATCCCACTCTCTATTCTCTGATTTGAGTGGCCTCTAATAATTGCTGTCAATTTTGCCATTTCTACAAACTCGCCAAGTTTGTTTTGCCATTCTAATAGTGATGGGATTTTCTCTCCCTTCCAGTATTTTGCAATCAATATCCTGGCAGCTGCTGTTTCATAAAGGAATACATTTTTCTTGTGTTTGGGGATGTCATAAGATATTAGGCCTAACAGAAAAGCCTCTGGCTTTTTTGTAAACATAATCTTAACCAATTTTTTCAGCTCCTCGTATACCTCATTCTAGATTTTTTTTACAATTTTACATCCCCACCATTTGCGTGTCGAGGTCCCCAAGACACCCCCCAGTAAAACACAATTGACACCTAATATTTAGTTTAAGGTTTTTGGCATAATTATGGCCACAACTTTATTAAAATTACAAGCAATGTGAGTGGTTGCTTAGGCATTGGTTGCGACTATCTGACCCCACACGGGCACAGACTGACATTTGCATGCTCCCAGGGGCTCTTGTGTGGCCCTAGCCCCTTGACAGGGGTTCAGACAAAAGCATGGCGAGCCCCTGGGTTCCTTTAATGGAAAACCCTTGCAGAAGCAGCATTTTGAAGGGGCAGGCACAGCCAATCCATACCTCTCACCAACCAATTCCTAAACCAATGCCTAACTGCCAATCAAGCACTGAAGCTCGCCGCCCAAACCACTCACAATTTTAACCCTTCCTTCAAACCCAACTCAACAGCAGCCAACCAGGTGTATTTTCCTAAAGAGGGCAGCAGCCTTGAAGGTAATCACAGGGTGCAAAATCACGGAACCACCTAAAGCAAGGACCTTTTTTACCGCCGCCTTATTCACACACTTTCTGGCCTGCTCGGTGGTAGTTTGTCTATGCATTGGTTCCCGACTAGCTGCGCCTGACCTCAGCAGGGCAGCACTGACGACTGGGCCCCACCATATCGTCAGTACAGGTAAACATCGTGGGGGAGCAATGAACCAGGATCAAACTCAAGCTCACCCCAAATGCTCCCAGGGACTCATGCATGGCCCTACCCCTCGAAAGGGGTCGACAAAAGCATGGTGAATCCCTGGATACCTTTAACGGAATACCTTTGCGCATTGGAGGGAACAGGTTCTCCAACACACATACCCCAGACAACCTTGAACCAATGCTTTAAAATATTTTGAGTCCAGGGAGAGCTGCCATCAACTCATCCAAGTCCTCTTGCATGCAGGAATGCAATCTTATGCTGGAGGAAGACAGCAAATCATTTTTGCCCAACTGCACCACCAGCGCTGTGGGAGGACCTGCACAGGTCACACTCGACCACACCAAAGGAAGGAACTCCTCCCAAAGCATTCCCCATTGGACATCCAGGATACATTCACATGGGCAGGAAGACCGAGATGGCACCCCAGTCCAGACTTATCAGCGCACTTGCCAGTCCAATGTACAATGCTGTGGCCAACAATCCAAATGCGCACAGCTGCTCCTATGAAAAAAGGAAATAACGAACAGGCATCAGAACAGACATCATTGGCGACGTTTCCTGACGTAACCCTTGTCAGCGTCAGACTTCCAATGCCCCATATTCACAATCCTGTCTACTGACAGGCCCCAGTGCGCAGCCTTTGTAGCAGCACCTATTCGGAAGGAATGAGGCGTGTTCAGCAGTAGGCAAGCCGCAATTAACTGGCGCACGACGCAAGCAAATTGATGCCTGGCTAACGGGAACCCATTTTTGTGCACTAGAAGCGGGCCAGCCCCCAGGGGAACAAAAAGCCAAATATTTCTGGTATCCATAACCACTTATGACCAGAAGCCTGATGGTGGCACTCCTTCCCACTAGGTCTGTCTTAGAGCTCCTGACTCTAATGACACGCTCCAAAGCAGATAAGGAAAAGTCCTGAAGCAATAAGCCTCCATACTCTCTACGCCGTTCTGGCTCCAACACAATTTCCTCAACCCTCAGTGCACCAAAAATGCAATGGAATACTGAAAGGAGTCTCGCCTTGAACTTTAACCAGCAGACAAGTCTTAATTTGTTGTGGAAATTGCATAGGTAAAAATTGACCAGCTTCCTGCCCACTGTCCTGTTGGAGCCTATTCCAACCTTCCAAGGCCCCACACATGACAAACTTTTTACAAGAGTCTCTGAAAAATAAAGTTTCACTATAACAGACATTGCAGTGGACTGAATTCTGATAGTTGTAACAACACATCCAATCTGCAGCAGATGGGCCAAATACTGCAGGGCCTTCTCAGAGGATGGGGGCAAGTTCCTCTGAATGGCCGAGGACTGCCAGCTAAAGGCTAAGAAAACAGTCCAAACCTTCTCATAAGTGCTAAAAGCAGAAGGGGAAATGGAAGCTGCTACTCCCTGTAATTACTAATTGTTGTCAAAGTGCCACAGGTGGTCCGGAAAAGTCCGGCAATAGCTGGGTGTTTGGAGCCCAGGATCTGAAGCGCTCCATCTGAAAATGGGATAGTGTGTCAGTGATATCATTAGAGGATCCTGTAATCAGGTGAGCAGAAAGCACAATATTAAACCTTAAGCAGCGCAGCTCGGAAGTGTGAGTGGAGGGGCAGAGGCT